GCGGGCATGGTCTAGTGGCTATGACGTCTGCCTAACACGCAGAAGATCCCGGGTTCGATCCCCGGTGCCCGTATCGTCTTCTCCGTTTGACTTCTCTTTGCACTCCTTCCCGCACAAACACCTTTGACGTTAACAGCCTGAGACTTTACACCGGCCTCATCCAACCTGATGGCTAGGTAAATATCTGGACAGACTCTCTCGTGAGCGCCTAATCTAGTTGGTGGGCTAGATCTGTAGCGAGAGACCTTATTTCAATATCCTGGGTTACATATGTGAATCCTGTATACAATGTTTTTCTCTCCTCTCCAATGATGTGAGGCAGGAGGGAAGGGGATGGCGAATGCAGATGGGTGTCAGTGTATACGAAACCTAAAGTGGTGACTGCAGAGCAAGACGTTTATGCACTAGTTGTTGGACGCCAAATCAGTCGAGGACCCCAAACCGTTGCTTGGGCAATAACACCAACTACAACTGCAGGTGAGCTTGTTTGTGAGCCAAAGGCTGTGCCAGCCTCCAATAGGGGACGCCTCCGTGGTAGCAACAGTGTGTGACCCCACCATCTATCTAAGCAGCCGCACAACAGGCAGAGCGCAATTCACCTGAGGAGTGTACGAAGGGGGGAGCGAGGCTGTTGGCGGCCGCGGGCATGGTCTAGTGGCTATGACGTCTGCCTAACACGCAGAAGATCCCGGGTTCGATCCCCGGTGCCCGTACGGTGTTTTTCGTTTTCCTGTGCGTAGGAGCATCCCATGTACAGTTACGTGGAAAGCGAAGTTTGGAGCAGGCAGGCCCCCTAAGTCTAGATGCTTCACAAACACACACGGCCCCCTAGCGGATCCCTACAGGGCCTCAGGTTTGCTTGCTAGCCATCTCGACTGGATGGAAGGACACCAGGCGCGGAAGTTGCTTATCCGCTGCAATTGCTGCCCCGTGCTGTTCGACAGCTTCTGTGAGGTCACATACTAACCATCGATTCCGTACGCCATCCTTATGAATCTGAAAAAGATTTAGCCTAGATGCCATCGCGTTACGAGCAGGAGCTGCAGGCCCTTTCTCATGTGGAGCCTTGTCTGCAGTGGTCCTGATGGAACCTTCTGTTCTTTGCAGCTCCATGGGTTTTGTGGTTGAATATGAAGACTACACGAAGGGGCGAAGCCCGTTGTGCATCTGAGTAGCCGCGAGCGCTGTACTTGCTCCGAGAAGCAAGAATGGCAGCCAGTGCAGCAACAGCAACAGCAACAGTAGCAAAAGCAGCAATGGCCGCAACAACTCAACTACGTTTCCCCGGAATTCAACAAATGAAGACTGGCAGTCTGTGCGTGTGGACACTCCGGTGTCTGGTTACTGAGCCTGAGAGAGCCAGCTGCCTATCGCTAGCTGGCTTGAAGTCCCAAAAGAAGCGTAGGCAAGGAGACGATGCATGTCTTTGCAGATACCGATATGTTATTAGGCTACGCAAATGAAGCCACATATGCGCGGCTGACCTGTTGTGCTGCAGCGCGAATGCCTCAGCTGCTGCTCTTTATGCAGTGCTAGTCCTGCTGGAGTTTTCTCTGCTCTGCAGTAGCTGCTGCTGCTCTTGGTGCAGTTGCTGTTGTTTCTGCAGCTGCACCAGCAGCTGCTTCTGCTGATGCTGCAACAGCGGCTCCTGCCGTTGCTGCAGTTGTCCCTGAAACTGCCGCTACAGCTGGTGCAGCCCAAATGTTCCTTGGTGCTACTGTTGCTGCTGCTGCAGTGCGTGCATATTTTTTACAGCAGCAGCAGCAGAGCTGGCGAGAGCAAGGAGACAGGCGGTACCCCTTTCAAATCGAGAACCCCAGCGTAGGGTTAGGGTGTTGTCGGCGCGTCCTGTTTCTGAGGTTCAGCATTGTTTGTTGTCTCTCGCTTCAACTTCTATTGCTGCAGCAGCTGCCGTCAGCAACCGCTGAGGGAGGCAGTAGCTCTACTGCTGTTGCCCATGGGGTCGCGTCTCGTCCTTTGTCTGGCAACTTTTGGGGTGTATGGAAAGCTCGAGTGCCCGAATAGCATAGCAATTATTCCTAGGCACAGCAAGTGCCCTTATGGGGCCCACGCCGTGCGGCCCTGCCTGGGGTCCCTTCCTGCAGTTTGTTCTGAGGGGGCATCTGAAGCCGAGAGATATTAGGGTTTCATCGGCTACAAGGCCGCCAGCTGATGCATAAGGTCGCAGGGCAGAGGAGGCTAAGGAGTTGCGGTGCTTGGCTGCTTCGTTTTCATATCTCCCCCTTGAAGGGAGGCACACTACGGGCCAGCAAGGTACACGCCTTCAGCTCGAAGCAATTGGTGGCTGAGGGGGGCCCTGGGGGATGGTTGAACGGGTGAAGGAGACAGCGGCGGCTGCGGAGATAGCAGAGAGGCCTCGATGATGCTTGTGGAGCACAAGAAATCCGCATATTCCCTCGCGAGTTCTCCTGGCTTTTTGCTGTTGTGTGACTCTTCAGGAAAAGGAGGCGCAATTGAGTCTATGCATGCATGGCAGCCACGGGGCCCCCCAGCGACCTCAGGAATTCGACTCGACGGCGATGGTTCTGCAATCTCGCGAGGAGACACGAGGGAGTCGGAGGCAGGTGCAGCACAGTGAACAGCCTCTTCTGCTGCAAACTGGCTGTAGCTTCCAGAAGCAGCAGCTGCTGCTGCTGTTGCAGCTGCAGAACACACGCCAGGGGCTCTGGGGACAGGAATATCCGCAGGAGGGGTCGGGAGTCCCCGGGGGGATAGTGAGAGGCCTTCGCTGTCCTTGGAACTTGTTTTGCTGTCTTCTTGGAAAGCAGCTGCTCTCCACGAAAGAACAGCAGAATCCGACAAACCCAGAAAACAGGGGCCAACACATGCAACCTCTGCTTGCTTCTGCTGTTCCTGTTGCTGCTGCTGTTCCTGCTGCTGATGGTATTGCCCGACAGGCTCTGCACTGCTTTGTGCATTTTCACAAAGACTGCGCCTTGTGGGGCTATGCTGGTCAATTGTAAAGCTCAGTAGTTCGTTACTGCATGAAGCGACATCCAGGGGCACCGCAGCGCAAGGCGAGCACTTCGTACTTCCCTTCTGCTGCCCCCGTAAGCTCTCCCTCCCTTCCCCAACTGCAGCAGCACAGCCCTGAATACTGCATTTTTCTGCTGCAGGAGGAGCCGCCACGACGTCTCCCTCCAGTGCTGTTTTTTGTGAAGCGTCCTGTGGAGGAAGGAGAAGCAGTAGTCGTTGGAACTGCTGCTGCTGCTGCTGTTGCTGCTGTTGCTGTTGCTGCCCTAGCTGGCGCTGCTGCCATGAGGACGCTTTGTGGCCAGCGGGTGTCCCTTTAGCCGTGGGTGCTGAAGCAGCAGCAGCGTGAGGAGCTTTCTTGGGGGCGGCATTGGCGCTAAGCTTCGCCGAACTGCCCCGCAAAGACCCCTTAGCATGCGGAAGCTCCTTTTGGTTCCTGCGACCGGACAGGGAAGAGAGTCGCCGCAAAGACCCCACGTCGCTGCGCCTCCTCTGCTGCTGCTGGTGCTGCACACCGCTTACTTGCTGCCAGCGGAACTTCTGCTGCTGCAGAGCCTCACTGCAGCACGCAACAGGAGCTGACGCTGCGTGGTTGCCGGGGGCTGTTGCTGCTCTTGGCGTCTCGACTGTGAACCGCAGACTCCCAGCAGCAGCAGCAGCACCCCTCCGCCGTGCTGCTGCAGCTACAGCTGCTGCATGGCTCCTCGACAGCAGCATCTGCACAAGAGAATATGTTGGACGCCCGTTACTCCTCGCTGCTTCGGTCCGAGCAGCCACAGACTCCTGACAGCCCTGCCTTCCCTCAGCGCCACAGGCACCTTCAGCGTCTCCAGCTGCATGCAGAATGACCTGGAAGGGGCCCTCCGTTGCTATAATCGGCCGTTCCTGCTGTTGTTGTTGCAGCTTCTGTTGCAGCAGTTGGTTCGGCTGCTGTTGCCAAGGATTGGTGCACCTGCTGGGATCTTTTTCGCAGGCGAAAGACTCAACTTGCTGCTTGTGGTGCGGCTCCAGTTGCTGTTGCTGCTGCTGCTCCATCACCTGTTGTGGCTGCCCTACATGCTGCCGCATTAGCTGGCTCTGCTCCTGTAGTCCGTGATGCTGCCGCTGCTGCAGCAGTTTAACTTCGTCGCAGTCCCCAGAACAAAGCCGTTGCTGGGGGTCTTCTTGAGGAGTTTCTTGCTGCTGTTGCTCATGCTGTTTTTCAGGTTTGTGCAGCGGGTTAGGATGCGCAGAGGCGGCACCTAGAGGATTATGAGCTTGGTCTATTTGCTGCTGCACTTGAAATGTTCCTTGTTGCTCCTGCTGCTGGCCCTGCTGGTGCTGTTGCTGTTGCTGCAGCTGCAGGTGGATTCCCATGGGGCTTTGCCACCCGCCATACTGCTGCACTGAGTCGTTGCTGCTGCTCAAACATCCTGCTTCTAGTTCCCCCTTCAGCTCTGCAGTAGCTTCACGTCGGCGAGGCTCCTTTGCCGTTGCCGTTGCTGTTGCAACAGCGGTAGTGGCTGCTGGTGCTTCTGCTGTTGCCGCTGCTGGATCGGCTGACTTTCCGGAGTCCGTCTTCGCCGCTCCTTTGTCTTCTTCAGCAGGCAGCAGTGACCCCAACAAAAGCGCACCTGGCCACTTCCAGAAACTTGGGACACTCGATGCCGGGGCTACACCAGCAGCAGCAGCAGCACTGACACCTTTTTCAGTAGGAGCATCAGTTGCTGTTATTCCCGCTGCAGCAGGTGCTGTGTCAGGAGCAGCTGCGAGCATTGTATTGCCAACGACGGCGCCATGGTTGACGGACCACTGTTGAGACCTACAACATATGCTGCTGCTACTGCTGCTGCTGCTATTGCTGCTGCTACTGCTGCTAAGGAACTGAAAATCTGCTGTTTCGGGGCTTTCCCAAGAGGAAGTGCTGTAGTACCCAAGAGCCGCAGGAGCTGACCGGGAAATGTTCCTGTCTAACGGCGAGGTGGATAAGCTGAAGCCGCTCGTGTTGTTATTGGTGTTGTTGCTGCTGGTGCTGCTGTTGCTGCAGATGCCAACCCTGCTGCTGTTGCAGCATGTTTGGGAGCCTCGCAATTCCCAGCTGCCAACTCCCCTCACTGTGGCGTTGTCTTGTGCTGGCCAGCAACTTTGTAGCCTGCTGTTGCCGGCAACGGCAGCAGCAGCAGCAGCATTTGCTACTGTTGCTGCTGCGGAAAGATTCCCACAGTTAGTTGATGTCGAGCTCGCTTGCTGCTGTTGCTCCTTTGACAACAATGATAGCATGTGTTGCTCCTGCAGCAAGGTTATGTGCTGGTGCGATGGATCTAGCTGCTGCTGTCGCTGCTGCTGCTGCTGCATTCCAGTGGGTGGATCCAGTCGAACTGCACTCCTATGCAGTAAAGAAGCCTGATCGGCATGGTGTTGCTGATGCTGCTGTTGCTGTTGTTGCTGCGTGTGAATACTTACAGGGCGGGTGGGTTGTAGCAGCTGCTCGCGGTGCAGCAGCAGCTGCTTGTGATCTCTGCAGGGAGGAACAGCAGCAAACGCAGCACTATTTGGCTGCGGGCAGCTGTTGCTGATGTTGTTACAATTGCAGCAATCTCTCCTTCTACAACAGCAGCTGTTGCTTGAGCCACAGATTTGCTGCTCCTTTGGGTATGGCAGCTGCTGCAGCAGATCTGCTAGCTCAGTGCCTTCACGGGGAAGCAATTCTGTGTTGTTGCTGCTGCTGCTTCCGTAGCGCATCACCGACGGCTTGCTGCTGCAGGCTATGTGGAACGGACTCCCACCCCCCACCGTGTCGTCGTTGCTAGTAGGAGAGAGCACCGCCCCAGCAGCAGCAGCAGCGGCAGCAGCCGCAGCTGTTGTAGCGTCTCCTTGCTGCTGCTGAAACCGAGAACTCAACGGTGATAGAAGGTGCATGCGTTCTGTTGTGGGGCTTTGCTGCTGCAGCAGCAACAGTTGTTGCTGCTGCTGCTTTTGCTGCAATGTAGACTGCTCATCTGTCCCAGCACAGCAGCACGGCAGTGGTATGGATAGATCCTGTCGCTGCAGCATCTCCTGCTGCAGCTGGTGCTCCTGGTGCTGCAGTGCTTGGCATGGCAGATAATGCGTTGTTGGCTGCCTCAGCTGGGCCTCCACGAGTTCTTCAAGAGTTGGGGTGCTGGCGAGGAAGCTTCTGTTCCCGCTGCAGCGCTGATACAGGCTGCTGCTGTTGCTGCAGCAGCTGCCATTGTCAACCAAGCAGCAGCAGCCGTTAGGCTGAATGTCTCCAGCATTCCCGCTGCTGCCGTTGCTGCAACGGTGGTGCAGCAGCAGCTGCCCCGTGAGCTGCTCCTCAGCTGCCTCGCTGGTGGTGCCACTGCTGCAGACTTTTGCAAGGAGGCCATACTGGGTAACTCGCTGCTTCTGTTCCTGCTGCATCAGAAGTTGTTGTTGCTGCTGCTTCTCGTGCGGTAGTAGAAGCTGTGGCTCCTGCGGCTGCTCATGGTGGAGCAGCAGCTGCGGCTGCTGCTGCTGGACGAGCTGCAGCTGCTGCAGCTGCCCTTCTTCCAGCAGCTCTTCCCCCTTGCGCTGTATGTGCACCTCGTATAGCTTTGTGCTGCCTTTGTATGTGGGGCGCGAGTCAAGGAACGGGTTACTGCAAGACAGCAGCAAAAGCAACAGCAACAGTAGAACCACCAAGCTAACTCGCATCGCTTACATTTGCAGCAACATCAGGCCTGCCGCCATCAGCATCAATACCGGCAGCAGCTTCCCAGCAGCAGAAAAAACCTGTGCCGGCAGTGCATCAATACCACAGACACATGGGCGAGGCAGCAAGCCAGTGCCTGAAAGTGTGTTTCGTTTGCAGCAGCTGCAGAAAGGAGCAGCATCTCCTCCCTAGCGACAGCAGCAGCAACAGCAGCAGCAGCAACAGCAACAGCAACAACAGCAGCAAGAGCAGCACTAAACGCACGTGTCTAGCAGCAGCGGCTGCAGCAATGGGTTCACTGGGAAATCCACACGAAGGCCGAATGGGGAGGGCCTCTTCCACCTGCTGGGGGGTTTCTTTCGCAGAGAGCCTACAGAGAAGGTAGGAGTCAACTGCTGCTGCTGTTGCTGCTGGTGCTGTTGTAGCTGGTGCTGAAGCTGCTGAGGGCGTTGGGTCTGCAGTTGCAGCAAGTCGTGGATTTGCTGCTGCTGAGCTGCCTGCTGCAGCGGCTGCTGCTTCTGCTGCTGTTTCTGCTGCCGCTGTTGCTGAAGCAAAGCCAGTCTTGCTGGCAGCTGCCTTAGGATGAGCTGTTGCTGCTGTTGCTGCTGCTTCATATGCTGCGTCGAACCAACAGCTGCAGCAAGACAGTCCGACGCTGGAGAATCGAGTGCTGGCCACTGTAGGGCTGAGCTGCGGGACGTTGTTGCTGCCTGTTGCGGTCTCTGCTGCTTGTGGCAGTTGCCTGCTGCTGCTCCTGCTGCTCCTAGCAGCTTTCCTTTGATCTTTCCTGAGCTATCGCCTGGCTGTCTCTTCGCAGGTGACAAATTGGGTGGCTGCACTTTTCGCAAGAGTCTGCGGCGCTGTCTGTGGTGCTGCTTATGCTGCTGTTGCTGTGGCTGTTGCTGTTGCTGTGGCTGTTGCTGTTGCTGTTGCTGTTGCTGTTGTTGCTGCTGGAGGACTGATGTTGTTGTAGTGATGTTACTAGGCAGGCTAAGTCCCTTCTTCACAGCTCGGGGGATACCTTCGGGTGTCTCTCCAGCAGCAGCAGCAGCAGCAGCTCTTGTCTCTCTCACACAAAATCGTTCGACCGAGCGCTGCTTCTGTCGCTGCAGCACCACATGCTGCTGCTGCTGTTGCTGCTGTTGTTTCTGCTGGTCATCGTCGGGCTCTTGGTCCCTGAGTACCTGCCGCTGCATCACCTTCGGCGGCTGGCGCTCTGTCCCTGGTTGTTGTTGTTGCTGCTGCAGCTGTGGTTGTTGTTGCTGCTGTTGCTGTTGCTGTGTTTGCTGCTCCGATTTTTGCTGCTCGTGTTGCTGTTGTTGCTGTTGTTGTTGTTGCTGTTTTTGCTGTTGTTGATGTTGTGACTCTTGCTGCTGCTGGGGCGGCGGCGTCCCGTGGCGCTGATCAAACCGCAGCTCCTGAGAATGCCCTACCCACATGGGGCTGCCCTCGTTTTTATGTTGCTGTTGCTGTTGCGCATGTTGCTGCTGACTGAGCGGATTATCCTGCTCGTATTGCTGCCGGCGGTCTTGCTGCTGTTGGTTCTCTGGCTGCCGCGGCTGTTGCGGCTGCTGCTGTTGCTTCTGCTGTTGCATACTCAGAAGTGTCGGCTGTTCCGACTCAGCTGCTGACAAGGACATTGTGGCGCCGCTTCTGTTGCTGCTGTTGCTTTTGATGCTGCTCCCTGGTCGTCGTTGCCGCTATAATTCGCAGAGAGGTGGTTGTAGAGGTGCGTCTTTGATGCTATCTTGTTCTGTATGACATATCTGAGGGTCTATGGCAGAGTAGATGCAGGGGTGGGCAGCAGCTGCCGGTGGCCTAGAGTTTAGTGTTTACGGTTTACCGGTTTCAGGGTTAGGGTTTACAGCGAGGGCTGCAGTGCAAAGCAGCCGAAGTGACTACGACTCCCCGTGATGATGCCTCTTTCGAGTGTATTCCCTATTCTTCACCTCATCTTCGAAGAAAGTCCGAATTTTGCTGCTGTTGTCGTTGTTTTCGTTGCTGCTGCAGTTGCTGTTGGTGCCGGCGGAGCTGCTCTTACTGCTGCGGCTGAAATGGCCGCTGTTCCCTTTCCCGCCTTTTGCTGGATGTATGTCAGGGCCTTTCAAGATCAGTCTAACCGCAGTAGGAGCTGAGGTACCTGTGAAGTTGTCAATTTGCGATGAGTTTAGGTGTATAGTGCAGATCTGCAGGCGGAGTGCGCTGTAAGGCAGCTGCGCCGCACCAGCTGCTGACGAAGAAGGGAAATGCCAGATAAGTATTTCTTCTCCCACACAATACGAGCAAAGTGAAGGCGGGGATTTGCCTCTATGTCGTGCTCCCCACTGTAAAACCCCAGCCAGCATAACCAGTGGCCTAGCCAGGGGCCCACTCTCAAGGGAAGACGACGGCTGTGACAGGACTGAAAAAAGGGAATACCTGTAAAAAATGTAGAAAGTAATCAAAGAAATCAATATTTGTGACTTAGGGTCTAAGGTTTGCGTTTGACTGGTTAGGGTTCAGTGTGAAGTGTGTCCGCGCGGTGTCGGCAGTGGGTTGACGGCGAAGCGGAGGGAAGGGAAGAAAGCGACAAGATGAGTGTTAGGGGAGCATTTTTCATGCAATAACTAAATAAAACAAGAAAAATAACTAAACTTTGACCAAATGTAGGAGTGTAATCAACCCACACAGACAACAGCAGCAGATAGAAAACCAACACCGGCCCTGCTTGTCTGTGGGGCGCTTGGCGTCGGCAGCAGCTGTGGCGGCGCCGATGTGCTGTATGGCGTATGCTCTTTGCCTTTGCTCAATATATTGAATTATTTGATTCAAAATACTTTTTCTCACTACGTTTTTATAAACTAGCACGTGTGCTTGGCTCGCTCTTGCACTCCTTTGCCGCCTGCAGTGCTAGTAACAAACAACACCACTCCAGTGGTCTTAGGCACCCAACCCAAACACTAAACCCTACACCCTAAACCCTAACTCCCCCACTTATACATGAGCCTGATCCTGGCTGAAAATCCTGGAGGCCGAGGTTCGCCCTCGCTGGCACCCGGCCCCTCTAGTGTGTGTGTGTGTGTGTGTGTGCCGTGGTACACAGCAGCAATGGCGGAGTTTGCTGCAGCAGCCGATTGGTGTAGCAGATGGACACCTCCTGCATTAACATACAATTGCAGTTGCTTAGCTGAGTGTCTCTGAGTAGGGATGGGGAGAAGGAGCCACTGAAGAGAAGCAACTACCGCAGGCGGGGACGCCACTGGAAGAATAGTAACCTCCTCTGATACGTTATTGTCTACCACTAAATACAAATTTTATTTTTACTTGTATTGTTTAGTGACATCCAATTAAAAGTGAAGCAGCAGAGACAGCGTCTTAAGAGAAGCTGTTGTCAGTTTGTTTGAACAAGGTCGGAGGAATCTCCAAAAAAGTTCAAATATCTGCATATACACAGATAGATTCAAATACGTTGATGCTGTGAATAGCAGTCCAACATTAAAGCAAACCATAAGACAAACGGTAGACCCTCAAATGCCATTGTAAACAGCAACAAGGGCGCCTAAACCCTGAGGTTTGAAGGGCCAGCCAGAAAATTGCTGTGACGCTGCTGTGAGCGTTGTGGGTACTAAATCTTCCAGGAGTTTTCTCCTGCTAAGAGACAGCTTCGGTATTCATTTAGCTGCACTCTCTCCTGTTGACTGGACCCAGAGATGGGTGGATGGATGGTGACGAGGTGGGGAGGGGGGGGTGTCTCCATTATGCAGGATGTGGGC